TTATAAATAACTTCTCTTTTCTATGGACTCCAAAAGTCCTAAAAAATTCTCTCACCTTAGTCCAAAAGCTATAGATTCTCCTCAAACTCAAAGTTGAGTTGTAGGAGATTCATCTCAAACCAATTCATTTGTTGAGTGAAAATCAACAAATAATCCAACATCAAGTATATAGGAATATAAATCTTATATCTCTTTCATTCTCCTGACCTAAGTTAGGTGAATGAGTTTCTTTCTTTGAACACCCAAAAGTCCAAAGAACTATTGATTTGTAATCCAAATCTACATATCATTTCATTGTGTTTGTTTTATCCATATTTAGCAAACAAGTTTCCATCATTTAACACCAAATCGAATGATAATTCATATGGTTTGTAACTCCAAAGTTACAAATTTGTTTCACATATTGAGCCAAAATCAATTGGTGACATATTTCTTCCAAACATCAAAATCAAAATTTTAACTCCTTTTCATTTGTTTGGCTCAAATCAAGTAAATGAATCTCTCTCTTTGAATACAAAAATTCAAGGAGAACTCTTGATTTGTTGCCTTAAAGCTGCAAGTCTTCTCTTATTTCTATGAGCTTCAAAAGCCATAGAAGATTTCCAACCTTAGTCCTAAAATCTAAGTAATCATTTCACTTAACAAAGTGATTTTTTCGTTTCATGACATTTAAAACATAACATTCAAATATCTTTTAGGAGCTTCAATCTGTTAAAATCCACTGTTTCTTATTAGGTAAATTTTATAAAATTCTAAGTAAAAGCCTTAGACATGTTTACCTTACCCTATTAGGTGAATATTTCTCTCTTATCCAAACACTAAAAACTCTAAAATCTTTAAAAATCACTTAGACTTCTTTTGATGCAATGATTAATCATTTCACCCAAAGGTGGAATGCCTACATCATTGGATCTTTTGATTCCATAAGCAACATGCTTTCCTCAAAGAAATCAGTGTCTTCTTTATGAGTTATTCATAACCCTTTTAAATATGAAATAATTAAAAATCAAATAAAAGCCTCAAGCCACAAACAACTTGAAGTGAAATCATTATTTGGATTAAAATTATATATCTTATATTACTTAATAAAATAAGACATCACTTGTTGTGTGACATATCACATACCCAACACACCTAGTTGCACAACCTCTAGGCATGCTAGGATTAAGATTTCTATGTATGTGTTTGATACTGTAGTATGATGCTTATTGAATTGTTTGCGTTATGATCACTTGTCTTTAACTGGATTGGATATAGATATACTTGTTTTTTCTGCAAATGACCATGTCCACGTGGGGGTAAAAATAAGTTATGACTATTTAACACTGTTTGCTTGCAAGCGTTGCTTAAAACCCTCCCAAAGAGGCATTACCAATATGATAGAAACATGTTTTGACATTTTAAGTGTCAGATAATTTTATGATGTTTGTTTTTGTTATATAAATTATTTTTTAATCCTCTTTTTGTTTTGTAGAGTTTAGTATTTTATATTTAAAATGTATTTGATAGATTTAGGAAATATGTTTAAGCATGTAGGATATAGTTACAGGAAAGGTGGATTAGAAGGATAAAGCTACCATATGTGAAGCCCAAGATCCATCTAGAAGCTAAAGCTTGATGATCCCATAGGCCGAGTATGTAAATAAATTATTGGGTTGTCTAATGGCAGACAACTCAGTTGTCAATTATAATTATAATAATTGGACTTTACAATTTACTTTCGTGTCTTGGTTGATTATATATATACATGTATGTTTGATTGTTTACTGGGTGTGCATTAGAAATGCATGTTTTTTCTTAGGTTTCTTCACTTGTTTTTGCTTGGGGGTGGCTTGGACATGTATTGTACGGTAAGCTCATATGATAAAATTAAGATTTCTACTAATTAAAAGATTTAAATAAAAAAATCAACCATAAAATTATATGTATTTTTCTATCAAAATTTATATGGCTTATTCAAATAAGCCAGACTTTCAAAGAAAAAAATTAAAATGATCATGCATGACTAGTGTATCACATGTAGAAGCCTTCACTTAAGGATCGATAATAAAAATCTGTATTTAGTGAGTCATCATATGTATACCCATATGTTCAGGCATCTTGGCCTAAAAGTCAAGGTCTAAGTCTTATCTTCTAAATCAAAACAATCTTCTCTTCTCTTCATGTGCATTGAGATTGGACTACATGGTTTTAAAAGCAGTTAGGTGGGTTTGGTTGGTAGTCATTTCCGGGCAGGATTGTAAATCCAGATGTTGGACTAGCTTATGTCTCATGTGAGTTGTAGGTTTATAAGTCCCTTGCACTTCGTTAGACTTAGCTTCGAGGTACTACCCCTCAGTAGTGCTCACCTTAGCTCTAGGATCCAAGGTTGTTGCTATCTCTAGTCACTTCATAAACCCTTACCTTTTGGGCATTTTTTTCAACATGTTTGTTTGGAATACAAGCCCCAACATTTTAAATCAAATTGGTCAAACTTGAACAAAAATCAAAATTTTAAAATGTAAAGCTCAATATAGGATAGTTTGTGTATTTCTGAGTTTTTTCAAAATTAATTACTCCTAAATTTAATTCATTTGGCTTCCATTCCTAAAAATCTGATGAAAGTTGATCTCATCATCCTTGAAATTTTCGAAGACCAAATTTTTAAATAAGAATTTTTCAAATTATAAGAAAAGAAAATATTAATCAATCTTTTAATGACTCTAGAAAAATCACTTATTTAATCAAAGATATTCTCAAATAATAAATGCTTGATATGGAATTAACCATAAGGGCTTGCCCTTATGGGGCATTTGAACCCCATAATAAAATAAACACTATTCAACCAAATATTTAGCATGAGAAAATCTTTGTTAAAATTCAAATTAGGGGTTTTGTTATTGAGTCCATAACGAAATAATATTTTTGTCTTTCTGGATAATATATTATTTTTTATGCCATGATTAATCATAAAATATCCCAATCCGTTTATGATGACAAAATTTCTCTTACAGGAGCATGGGAAGATAACATGAGGGATCTAATGACATCTTGTAAATCTCAAGTTTTGCTTTCATTAATTTCTATTTTGTTTAGGGATATAAAAACATGAGCTTTGATGTGCGGCTATCCCTTGACTTGGAAGATATGATGCAATAATTGATTGTTTATTTTCTCGCCCATTGTCCATTCTAAAGATTGTATCTTGGCTTGGAATTAAGTTTGAATCTGGTTGTTAAAATTATGGAATATTGGACCTATATCCACCTTTCTTTTCATTAGAAGTATCCTTGTAACTTTGATGTGATCATGAATAAAGGTGACTGAGCCATCTAGAACCTGTAATATTATTATTGATTCTAGAAGGTACCATTGTGTATTATTGAAAAAGTGATTATTTATTAAGTTTTATTTGGATTGGTATTAGGAACATATTTGGATTGTTGAAAAATCTCATGCTCAGAAATTTCTAACTTGTCATTGACAAATGAGGGAAATGGTTTTTCAAGATACAAGAAATTTGGTTGTTTGATCGATAGTGCCACAACATGATCATATAATCTTGATAACTTCTAGAAAGAGAGCAACTCAATAATTTTCTGTGATTCTCTTTTAAGATTGTAAATTCTAATATGATTAAACCTTGCACATAGGGGTGTAAACTAGTCAAGCTGAGCTTGAGGTTGATTAGATAATCAAGTTTAAGCTCAAGCTCGAGTGTAATTACATGAGTTTGAGCTTGTAAGCCAGCTCATTTATTATAAAATAATGAAAATAAATTTAATTCAGATAGTTGTTGTAATAAAATGATTAAAAAAATGGGCTATTAAAAGATAAATAATAATAAATCACTTGATATAACAAATTGAATTATAATTTTTAAATAATTTTAATAACTTTGTATTTAAACTTTTGAATTTAATATACTTTAAATGTACTTTATATTAACATTTTTTAAATAAACTGGCTCATGAGTTGGCGAGTCGAGTCAAGCCTAGCTCAAGCTTGACTTGTTATCTTATCGAGTTTAGTTCACAAGCCATTTATCGTGCTGAGCTTGAGTTGGCCTTACTCAGTTTATAGGCATGTGCAAACACATCCTAATATTTGCAATAATTTTCATGGACAAGTTAAAAAATTCATATATAATTGGGAAAAGTTTAATGAATGATTATGGTCTCTTGTAAGTTTTCTTATGGACAATAAATTGCAATTTAAATTTATAATCAAGTGAACAAAGACAATTTTAGATCGTTTAAAATGATGATAAAGCCTATCAATCACTTTTAAGAGTGACTCATAAACAATTTAGATAGTAAGATAGCCACTATATGGACTTTATTTATGAAATATGAAAGCATATACAATCATGTGATCTAATGCATTCTTAAATTTTCCTGGTATATACAGTTATGAAACTTAGAATAAGCTCATCCTTAATTAGAAACTTGGAGATGTCTAATATGTATGGTTAAATCAGTGAGGAAAAATATCTCTGAATCATTAAAAGTATTGATCTATTGGGCTTTTGAAAGTTGTACTTACATGTCTAATGCCTACTTCGTGATGTGAAGCCTTTTATGTATTTACTAATGTGATGTCTTGCAAATGTCAAATTATCTTAAGAATGAGAGATGAGAAACGTTTTTCATGAAGCTAAAATATTATAATATTGTAAAATACAGACTTAGTGCTTTGTATTTGTACTTTAAAAAAACTCAAGGTTATTTAAACTGCATAGATGAAATGTTAAATTAAAAACTTTTTAGTGAACCTAGTAACGCTTGCATCATGTTTGAAACCTGTTGCAGAGTATAAAATTGCACCCAACTTCATCATAATTTTTTCGACATTATTACTTAGTTGAAGAACACCTTGAAATGAACTGCCCAACATTGTTATTTTTTTTTTTTGGCTGTACTTTAATTCATCCTTTTGTAAATTATTGTCTCTGTGTACTGTTTTATGTGGGATTCTACTTGTTTCCGGGCTCTGATTCTTTCTTTATATTTTTACATCAGATTTCAGCTGAGGCATGAAGAGCATATTGAATTTAGTAAGCTTGGACTAAGGGATAATGTTGCCCAAATTTGCGTTTTGGAAGTATGCCTGATACATGGAGATCATCTGTTAATAAGTTTTTATTTTATTTTCATTGCAGTGTTCAAATTTTAAACATTTTCCTTGTGTGTGTATTTACTCTTTTTTCTTTGCAGTCAGAGATGCGTTGCTTGGCTGAAAATGCTGCTTTTCCTGCAAGGTACTATTATATTTTCTCAAATAGAAAAAATTCCAAAATAGTCCCCAGACTATTCGTGTATAACTAATTTAGTCCCAAAGTATCACATTACTCCAATTTAGCTCATGACTATATAAAATTGATCCAAAATAGTCACTCATATTATAATTGTGATATGAAATTTATCCCAATTTATTCCCTCAACTTCATAAAATTGATCCCAATTTAGTTCCGTAGGGACAATTTTCGATCAATTTTGTATAGTCAAGGGGCTAAATTGGAGCAACGCTATACTCTGGGGCTAAATTGACTATATATGAATAGTTTGATAATTATTTTGCAATTTAAACCTTTTATCACGTTATCTTTCTTTGCAGTCTAAAGTAGGTTTAATTAGTTCCTTTGATATAAAATAGGTGTTTAATACTAGGAATGGTGATGCAGCACAATTTTTTTTCTTTTGTCATACATGACAATATTGGAAAAGCATAAATTAAATTGTAAAAGTTCATTGACCTATATATGCTAGAGCATAAAACAAATGAAAATAAACCTAATCATTAATTGATATAGGTAAAAGAAATGGTCAATACACCTAATGTGATGTGTAACACACGTTGACTTGTAATCACAAAAATTGGCTCTAAGAATTTTTAATAATCAAATTGATGCATGACTAAAATGCTTTAAATGAATGCGTTAAGAACTTGCACGATTTTGAAAAGAACAAGAACAATTAAGACTATTAGCTATTCAGAACAAAAAGAGAAAACGTAAGAGCGGTCACTTCGTTTAGGCCAAGTTACATAATAAGCACTTGAATTATCAAAATAATAACGAAATTCAACAACATGCGAATGAAGTAGCTTTCAACAAAACCCCTCATCTAACAATAAGATAGTAACATAGGAAGCACACTCAATCCTACGTTTACTAAGCTTAGGCAAAAGACGAAGCATGGTTCCTTGTGACTGGATCACCACCTACAAGATGAGCGGATTAGGGAAAGTAAATGAAAAGGGGAAGAAGTTCACCCTTGGGAAGGTTCGGAGATGATTTTCCACTGGGCGCCGACAAGTTGCTTGTTGATGGCCTTCGATAGCATGAAAATAATGCGGTCCATGTACTCTTCGATAGAACGATCCACTTCCGGGTTGAAATCGAAGGTGGAGTGGAGGATGTTAACATATCCTTGCTCGTCGTAAGCAAATCCATAGTCAAGTTCCGGGTCGGCCATTCATTTGGCTTTGGGAGGAGGATATGTAGTCGACGATCAATGTCAATCCCTTGAAGCTCCACTAGAGAGAAAGAAGTTTCTCTCAAAATTGAAGTAGAGAGGAGGGGATGGCCGACCAAGGAAGGAGGGAGGGAATTCTAATTTGGTTCAGATTTTGGTGGAGGGAAAGTGTTCAAACAATCTCCAATTAATCCCCTTGATTAAAATAATCAAGGAAGAGGAGAGAGTGGGGCCGACGACGGCAAGGGAGAGGGGAGGGCTTTAGTTTAATTCCAAAAGGAGAGATTCTCCTTTGGAAATAAATTAAATAGGTGGGGCTTAGGGGATTTTGGCCAAAGGAGGTGGAGGGGGAATTAGGAATTGTTCCCAAGAGGGGTTTAGGGGATTTAGGAAATAAATCCCATGGGATTTAATGAGGGGGGCCGGCGGATTTAAAGGCTAGGAGAGGATTGTGGGGTTGCTTAATTTGGGATTAGGAAAGATATAATTAAATCTCAATTAATTTGAAATTCAAATAGTATTTAATTTAGTTACTTTCTTAAAATAGATTTGCTAAATTAGGAAAGAATTTTCAAATTCAAATTATTTTGAAATTTAACAATGAGTTTTCCTAAATTAAGAGTGGCCCCTTATGGAAGGTAATCAAGAGGGATTTGAATTGTGGAGGGAAGATGGGAGAGGTGGGGGGCCGGCGACTAGGGTGAAAGCTTATGGGGATTTCGGTGGAGGGATGGTGGTGTGGTGAGGCCAGCGGGTAGGTGGGGGGGGGGATTTGGTGGCCAGCGGCTTAGGGATTGGGCGAGACCTTAGGCTAGTGGCTAGATGATGAAGGGGAAAAGGAAAACTCGATAAAGAAGAAGAACCACGATCCTGGCCGTCTCCAAGGTTGGTGGATGATCCAAATTCTCTCTCCAAGGGACCTCGCTCCAAACTCTATCATTCTCTAATAAGAACTCAAATATGGGGGTAAATTTTTATCATTCAATCATTAACATGAAAAGAGAACAAGAGGGCTATATATTGCCTCGTATAAATGACTCAAGAAAATAAAAAGACGACGATGCCCTCTTGGCTTATATACGATCTCCCTTAAGTAAGGGGTAAAAGCGGAAACACTAATAAAACAAATACAACATAAAATAATAAAGAAAATACATAATACGACTTAGAAGTACATCGACTCAATCGTGGCCGTAGATCGATGACCATGTTTCTGATAGATTTTCCAAGTTCTGATGTCCCCATCACACATTCACAAATTCCTATTAACAACCACCCTTTATCATACTATGTTGGGTTGACTATATGAATCCTTTTTCTCCACTATTTCCAATTAAGAGTCAAATTCTCACTTAAATCTAAAAAATTATCATTTTTAATCCTTTTTAACCAAATATTTTTAGATCTATCTCTGCCTTTCTTAACATAGTACCGATCTAATAAATCTACTATTCTAACAAGATCATCAAAAAAACTGACATTTTATGTGACCAAACCATCTAAGAAGACTCTAATTTCATATGCTACTAGAACTACTCCCAACTTTTTCAATTTATGCCCAATCATAGCATAGCCAGTCAATAGCACAAGTTAATATTTCTAGACTATCTTAAGTTTTATTAGGATTTCTAGATTTATTATGATGAATTATACTTTTGGATACTTTTATGTTTAAAATTGAATTATGTAGTTTTAGATTTTATTTTGGACTGGATTTGATTTGATTTGATTTTGTCTTTGTAAGTTTATTATCTTAAATATGGATTTATGAGTTGTATTTTGCTTATTGATTAAATGAATCGACACTTAGAGCTCACTCTCATATTCTTTTTGCTTTCTCTTTTGTCTTATAGCTAGTTTACCTTGGATTCTTTATTCTTCTTTCGTTGTAGTAGCTTTGCATCATTTTTGTATTATAGCTGAACATCCTATCTGCCTCTTGCGCTTGATTCACTCATTAGCGTCAATATCACAAATTATTTGCACCTATGCATGCTCACTCTCCTAGCTGCGCCTGGTCACACTTCTGATTGTGCCCACTCGTGCTATCCTGATCTTACCAAATAACAATCTATGCTCATTTTGATTCCTTCTCCAACACCCAATGAAGACTGCTGACCCTCTATGACCTTGATTTTGAATCACTCATAACTAAAACACCCCAAGTATGCTTCCTTCTCTTTGCCCAATTTTCCTAGTTGACTTTCGAATCATACTCGATTCTATTGATTTTCAGTCATAGGTAGGACCTTCAGTCATAGGTAGGACCTTTTCCTATTTCCGATGATGCAAGTGGGCTATGCACAAGAAGTCCCTTGGCATGACGTGGCTTGCAATTAATTTAGATCATCATGGGCCACATTATCATTCATTAAAATTTCTCTCTTGGAATAGCAAGAAAACTACTCGTGTAATCAACTACTACAATTAAATCACAAAGTTAATAATATATATAACATCAACTGAACTATTTCCAATAAAATGAAGGCATAACCATAACAACACAACATTAACCATTATATTGTCAAATTGTCAAAAAAAAAAAAAAAAAAAAATTGTCAAATTGTCAAATCTATAAAGTTCACCCTCAACATCTACCTATCAAAGCATATAAATTCATAATACTGAAGTTTAAACAATAAAAAGAAAACTTAAATCCTCATATACAACATGGGCGTGATTATCATCTTCTTTCTTAGCCGAAATCAACATTGTGCCTTTTATACACCGGCTAAACTATTTGTGAGTAAATGATCTATTAAGAGCTTTTTTTAAGCTTAGTCTCCATCATTTGCTCCACTTGCATCATATGAAGTTATGATTACCCTACTTGAGATTGGGACCCCCCTGTACTGTTATTTGATGAGTAGGCCACAATAATTAGAGGTAGTCTTGCTGAGCTCGAAGGGGGTATGACTGGGTGTATATCTATATACTAAACCTTTACTTGAATTGTCTGTTGTCTTTAGCACATGCTTGGGCATCAACATCAATCCGGCTACCGTATGACTCCATATTTCTTAGTGATGATTGCAATATAATCTTCCTGCATAGACATAGAAGTAAGATACATTAGTATTATTTATATTCTCATATTATTATTTTTTATATTTACATGTTGAAGTTACTTGTCGAATAATAATGACATTTAGATTTAAACGAGAATTTGTTTTTTAATAGGACACAATGGAGAAAAAAGATTCATATTGCCGACCCCACAGTGGGATAAAGACTTGATGTTGTTTTGTTAAAGTTACACACCCGATATGACAAAACATTGATAAAGTCATATGCCTCCTTTGTATAGGTCCTCTTGAATAGCTTGTCTGAGTAGGCATCATCCCCTCAAACATTGCTTATTTCTAAAATTGTAGAAATAAAAAAAAAATTATAAAAAATTATACTTGCTATTACTTATGCTCATCTAAGCTCTCATCATATGATCGATATACGTGATGACAAGAACAGAGCCATTGATGTGCTTAGGAGTCCAACCTCCTCTATCAAGTGATTCTTACTAGCCGCTTACAATTCATGTCTTCTTTCCTCAATCTTCTTGTTATTAGTCATTTGTGCCCAAAAATAGCTAGTCATCCAACTAGGTTGGTACTCAAGCAAAACACTGAAACCATTTGAATTGCTTACACGTCTTGCTACTTAAAGCACCTGATTTTAAATTTATGTTGCAACATTACCTCCTATGTTTGGTGAAGTCAGTGCCCTTGCTTCTCAAGGTATGTCTACTATCACTATTATTATCGGTCATCAATTTTATTTGATATTTTGATACAAAATAAGTTCCTACAGTGAAATAGACAATATTAGGTTCTCAATAAGAAGTATTGCCACAATCTATCTCTTTAACATCATTTTGAATGTTCTTTCTCCCGTTCATGTGTATGATACAAAAGATTAATATTTATGCATAAAACATTAATGGAGCATTATATCTTGAATAATTAAAAATTTCTGGAGCATGACTTACTATATAATGCAAGTATTTTTTTTATGGTATACATGATGCATGTACACAATGCTACAAAATTAATTGCTATCAAAAGTATTGTTAGATTGATGCTCTTCTTCCTTATCTTCCTTATTTGTTTTATCCCAACATCGGCATCTACAATAGATGATGATTAATTCATCATTTGTCGAATAGGTTAAGGCAGTAAATGAACATCTTTTGGTGGCCCATAACTTGCGAAAATTCTTTCTTTTCTAAGATTATTTGATTTACTAATGTGATATCTACTTCTTGATAAGCACCAATATCTATATATTTCTCAATATTTATGTATGGTTAAATAAAATTGCTCCTCACAACCATCTTGCATGCAACTAAATTATTTCCATTGACCACAAGAACTACTCCAAAGTTGTCCCGATCAAACATTGCAAAAATAGCGAGCGACAAACGTGACGTGCAAGCACTATGCGGAATGTATTCATAAAAAATTGTAGTTGTCCAAATAGCGCCCAGTTATGAAGCAAACTGCATAAGTGCATTCGAGATATCAGAAACAGTTAAGATAGATACCTATATTGCCTAGTTTCTGACATAGGTGCAATTCAAAAATTAACCCTTACGCAAGGTGACAACACATTTTTGATGTGTGCTAGCGATGAGAGTTTTGCAAAAAAAATTAATATATACTTTTATTATTATAATTATTAAATAAATTAATCAAAATTAAAAAATCCCTACCAGTTCCATTATACCCGTGCCCATGCTCGCACCCACGACTCCCCCTTCCCTCACCCCCCTCCCCCCCCCCACCCCCCCCCCCCCCCCCTAAAATGACACATGACCCCAACACTCTCAAACACATAAGACCCTCTTCCTTGCTCTCCTTGCTTTCTTCCTCTTGGCCTTCTTTGCATTCCCATATCCCCAAAACCCTCTATGACGAGAAGCAAGGGAGCCGCATATGGGAATTTGTAGGGAGAAGATATTGTTGAGTCTAGCGGCACGTGGAGAGTAGATCGCATGGGGAACTTGGATTCTCATAACCCAACCTGCCCCCCTTCACTCACGACACTCCACTCACGCACACCCCCTCTTCCTCTTAGCTCACTCTCTCCCTCCTGCTCTCTCTCGGTCCGTACGGCCAAGGTAACCACCTCACCTCCTTACTTTCTCCTACATTCCCTCTTCTTTTTTCTTCTCTCTTACTTTTTGTCTTCCCCTTCTTTTTCTCCTTCCACACATTCTTCTTCCTCCTTCCCAAAACCTATCCTTAACCTTAATTTTTTGATTTCTCCATCTCTTTCCCTCAAACCACCATCATCCTTCAAAAAAACTTTCCCCAACACCTCGTACACCTCCACCAAAAAGTCCTATCATCCTACACTTTCTCTTTCTAGACTTAGAGAAATTTTTTCTCTTTAAAAGGAGAGAAAATTCATAAGTTCTTCTTTCAAAGACCTCATTCTTCATCTCAAATACCTCCCACCCTCATTCCTTCTTTTTACTCTACCTAGAGAGAAAAAATTCCCCTCTTTTTCTCTCTAATATCATTCTCCTCACCATAAATACATTCCTACAATATTTCCATCAAAACCCCATTTTTCTCTCTCTAAAAAGAGAGGTTGCATCATCTCTTTCACCCTTTAGCCCCTATTTATAAAATATATATTCATATAATTAAATAGAATAAATGATAATCATTAAAAAAATGTTTTTGTGCATCTCAGGTTTAGTGCGTTTCCTCGTTGTCGTTGCTTCCGTTGTCATACAACTTGAGGTATAACCCCGACACTAGCTATTTTATTATTTGCTATGTGTGAAATAAGTACCTGTGATCATTTTTCTTAGCAGATTGGAAAATTCATATGCATGAGAAGGCTTAGTACACCCATGACTATCTTTCTTGACAGGCAAGAAGGCTTATCACACCCGTGATTGTCACGGTAGGTGTCAAGTGCACCGCGACCGAAATTTTTATTTATCGCCTACCAAAAAAGGCATCACAGGTCTTCATGTACTTGTTTATTAAGCACATCATTTCTCTGTCTGCCAAGAAAGTCAGTTATGAGTACTTAATTTTTTTTCCTTATATATAGCATATTTCCCTGCATTCCAAAAAAGACAGCCATGGGTACTCAAAATTTTACTTGCAAATAAATTTTATCGCTTACTAATAATAGTAGTCACATATACTTAGTTATGCATACAAATTTTCTCGGATGATAAGAAAAGTGTCCACAGGTACTTAATTTAATGCATACGAATTTTCCCGTATGCTAAGAAAAGCGGTCACGTGCACTTATTTCATGCATACCAAATTATAACATAGCTAGTATCGGGATTATACCTCAAGGTGTGTGGCGGCGGAAGCGGCGTTGATGAGACAAAGAGGCAAGGCAACACATGAGACATATATATATATATATATATATATATATAATGCGGGCTATGGCAGAAAGAGGTTATGCAACCTCTCTTGCTAGAATGAGAAAGAAATAAATGGGGGTTTTGATGAAAATTTAGGAATGCGTTTATGGTGAGAATGATGATATTAGAGAGAAAAAATCTCTCCCTCCAATTTTAGAGAGGGATTTTTTTCTCTTTAGATAGAGGGAAAAGAAGGAATTTGGTGGGGGGAGGTGTTTGAGATGAAGAATGAGGTGTTTGAAAGGAGAAATCATGAATTTTCTCTCTTTAGGTATAGAGAGAGAGTGGGGATGATGGGGCTTTTTAGTGGAAGAGGTGTAGGTGTTGGGGAATTCTTTTGTGAAGGAGGATGGTGGTTTGAGGGAAAGAGATGGAGAAATAAAAAAATTAAAATTAGGGTTAGGTTTTGGGATTTATGAAGAAGAATGTGGGGAAGGAGAAGAAGGGGAATAGGTAGAGGAAGAGAGGAAAGGAAGAAAAAGGAGGGAATGGAGGAAGAAAAAGAGAGGAAGAAGAAGGAGGAGGTGAGATGGTTACCTTGGGCCGGTGGCGACGGTAAGTGGCGTGGCCGGCTGGGGCCTTGGCCGTGCGGATTGAGAGAGCTTGAGGGAAAGAGTGAGCCGAGAGGGAGATGGGGTGTGCGTGAGTGGGGGGCAGGGATTGGTTGGTTGGTTGGTTGGGTTATGAGAGCTTAAGTGAGCGTAGTTTATGTTTTTTTTTTAATTTTGTATTTAAAAATTTTCTCCCTTCTTTAATTACTATTTTTAATTAATTTCAAATATATAATTGATACATTTTTTTTAAAAATAATTATGCATGAACTCGGTTGTCACACTGTCGTCGTTCGTGCACGTTGATGTCATCTAGATTTGTGCGCACACGAAATTTAAATTTTGGATGATCTACAATCCCAATCAACATATGTATTTCAGGATTGGTGTTGGTAAGAGATGTTTGTTTAGATTCTCATTTTTGTTATGTTAGAAGTTGAGTATAGTGGGTCAAAATTGGGTGTGACATATAGTATGCCGAGCATGAATGGCCTAAATACTCTCCGGCTGGGCAACTCTTCAGACCTGCACGTGGGTATGTTCGTTTGGCAACATATGTCTTAAGAGCCCATAAAAATATTTTGAATGAAGCAAGCATATATGAGGC